GGAATGGCTAGCTAGTTCGAACTATCTAGCCCGTGCCGCGTGTAGCCGCGCGGCACGGGGTTCGAACAAGCCGGCTTTTAAAAATGGCGGAGCCGGCTTTATGCTAATGAAGCCCGGGAAATTCAAATCCCGGGCTTCATTAGCAAGTTCGGTATGCCTACATTACCCCCCCTAGTTCGAACTAGGGGGGTAGTGGGGACATACCCCCATTGAGTGGCCCCAGGACCACTTACAGAGAGAATGAGTCTGCTCTACAGCCTTAGCTAGGCAGCAGCTGGCTTTTGACTCATGAGTTAGAAGCTCATGCGTTACGCTGCAGAGGACCTGGGTTCGTTTCCACTTGCGGGTGTCACAAGTGGAGGCTCAGCTGGGATTTCAAGTGGGATGCCTCTGAAGCTCCAGACACACTTCTTCAGCGAGGGTTGGGTGTGGTGTTCTGTCCCGTGGAGTGGCACTGAGCCCACTTAGAGCAGGGGTGGGCAAATACCAGCTTGTGGGTTGGTTCCAGTCTGCCAGGGTTAGCCCCTCGTGGGTCCCCATCACTCTATTTGCCTCTGCAGGTACGGGCGCTCACAGCTCCCGTCAGCCAAGAGGAGCTGCGGGAAGTGGTGTCCTGGTCTATGCCGCTTCCTATCGCTCCCATTGGCTGGGAACAGCGATCCATGGCCAACGGGAGCTGTGATCATTGGTACCTGCAGAGGCAAAGGTAAATATAATGGAAGCCTACCAGGGACTAAGAATCGTGACTCAGAATCGTGAGTCTGCTTTAAAACCTTAGCTAGCAGCCAGCTGGCTCTTAGCTCATGCAATAGAGCCTCGTGGTCTGAGCTCCAGAGGTCCTAGGTTCAATTCTGACTCCAGAGGACGGGGATCTGTCAGCATTATACAAGCACTAGACTGAGAATCAGGGTCTGCAGTCTAGTCTCAGCTCTGCCACTCACCCACTAGGTGCCATGGGCACAAAGTCACCTCTTCTATCTTAGCCTGTTTCCTCATCTGTCCAGTGAAGTTTAGGCACTTATCCGGCTTTGTAGAGCACTCGGAGTTCTACTTACGCCAAGTGCTCTGCACCAGATAAGTGTATTATTAGTATTAGACTTGCAAGAGAAATAATAGATTTCAGTCTGAGCTCTTGAGTGACTCCTGTTCCTTCTTTGTAGTTCAGACATTTAGAAGTAATTTGTGGAGTTATAGCAGATGGAAGCCTGGAAGTTAATATCTGCAATAAAACTCTGTGTGAGGTGACATTTGTTCTGAATGTTATTTCCCATGTGTGTTGTTGAAACATGCATTTTATTCTTAAAAGTGAAAAAAAAAAAAAAAAAGATTTCACTATCATTAGTATTGATAAAAGTTAAATGGTCCAGAAAATTAGCTTGTGTTTTACATGAGATCAGTTTCTTTAGGATTACAGAGATATCTCTTTCTGACAGCTGTGTGTTTTACAAGCCAAATACCGTATTTTCCAGCGTATAAGGCGACTGGGTGTATAAGACGACCCCCTAATTTTTTAGTTAAAAGATAGGGTTTCATCTTATACCCCAGCGCCCCTCCGCCTCCTTTGCTCCCGGTGTCCCTGGTCTGCTGGAGACGGTCCCCAGCAGACCAGAGGCACCGGGATTCCTTCCTTCCTTCCTTCCTTCCTTCCTTCCTTCCTTCCTTCCTTCCTTCCTTCCTTCCTTCCTTCCTTCCTTCCTTCCTTCCTTCCTTCCTTCCTTCCTTCCTTCCTTCCTTCCTTCCTTCCTTCCTTCCTTCCTTCCTTCCTTCCTTCCTTCCTTCCTTCCTTCCTTCCTTCCTTCCTTCCTTCCTTCCTTCCTTCCTTCCTTCCTTCCTTCCTTCCTTCCTTCCTTCCTTCCTTCCTTCCTTCCTTCCTTCCTTCAAAAAGTCCTTCCTTCCTTCCTTCCTTCCTTCCTTCCTTCCTTCCCCATTTAAACAAAACAGGTTTTCACAGAGCAAAATGCAGGTTCCCACCCTAGCCCCAAAGCCTACAGGCCACACCCCTACAGGGGGGAACTGTCCCCAGGCAAGCAGGGACTCTGAGAAGGATTTAGGGTCATGCTTGGCAAGCTGCTCAACAGGAGCTCCCAGGGGATGCTGTGGAGAATACAGCTACAGCCATCACTAGTCACACAAGCAGAGGAGTGAGCAAGGCAGGGAGGTGACAGCACCCGTGAGACTGAGACTGGACAATGCAGCCTGCTCTAGGGGCCACATTTTAAAAAGAGGTTGAAAAACTGGAGATGGGCAGCAAAGAGCCCAGTGTTCTGAGGGCCGAGGAAAAACACCTTCTTGTGAGCTATCAAGTGGAGCCCCGTCTGTTTAGCTTCTACAAAAGGAGGCTGAGAGGTGACTTCATTGAAGTGTCTAAGTGCCTTCCCGGAGAGAAAATGTCAGGCATTAAAGGGCTGTGTAATGATGCAGAAAAAGGCAGAACAAGACCAGTGGCTGGAAGGTGAAAACAGACACACTGATATTAGAAATGAGGCACAAATATTTCACAGTGAGGATGATTCATCACTGGAACAAACTACCAAAGCAATTGGCAGATTCTCCTTTTCTTGGTGTCTCCTAATGAAGACGAGATGCCTTTCTAGTGTGTGTTTGGATCAAAACTCAGCTACTATGATCTACAGGAGGGCTGGGATATGCAGGGGTCTGAGTCGATGCTTTTATGGTCCCGTCTGGCCTTACAGTCTACTAATAAGTGAAAAACTAAGTGTGGCCTAGGGAGCAGCCTCTGGGGCGTTACTGTGCAGCCAGCTTGATTCCCAGACTCAGCTGTCGTGAACTGGGATGATCCCGGGGAAGCCGCTCAAACATCCAGAGAGGCGGACCAGGGTCAGGACACCAGCCTTCCAAGGGAGCCGTGGGTGTGGCAGTGACATCACAAAGGCCTGTTGCAGGACCTCAGCTGATTGGGGGACAGCGGTGGGGAGGTGATGACCTCACAGAGACCCTGACATCAGCCAGGCAGGAGAGAGGTGCCAGGCAGGGGCAACCTCAGAGACTCCCATGGCTTTGCAGCAGGAAGGCTCCTTCTCGAGGTCTCTCCTTGGGCACGGAGAGAGAATTAGGGCTCATGTACGTGAGCATGAGGAGGAACCTCGTTGGCGTTTTCTCCTTTTCTGCTGCTGATTTTGTGGCCCCTGTGTAGACGGTAAGAACCTCAGAGAGGTTTGGAACCTGTTCAGTCTGATCCACCTGGTACCAGCTGAATTCTAGACCTAGAAATCACTCGGTTACGGCAATTTTATTTCCTACCAAGGATGTTGTCCCATAGAATCACTGGGGGCATTGGGGATTTGTCCTGTTAGGTTTCGCCTTTCCTCCTTCACTCCTTCTTCTCTTGCTTCTTTCTCCCCTTTTCCGTTCCTCCAGGCTTCTACTAAGAAGGGGTGTGTGTGTGTGTGTGTGTTGGGGGTTTGCTGTCACTGTGAGAAGCCTCACAAAGAGATGGGACTAGAAGGGTACGTCTAGACTACAGGGTTTTGTCGACAGAAGTTTTGTCAACAGATACTGTCGACAAAGCTTCTGTCGACAAAGAGCGTCTAGACTACATTCAGTTCTGTCGACAAAGCAAGCTGCTTTGTTGACATAACAGTGTGGACGCAAAGGACAGTTTAGATGCAATAATGCCTTCTATTGACAGAACTCTGTCGACAGAAGGCGTTATTCCTCGTAAAATTAGGTTTACCAGCGTCGACAAAACTGCTGAGTTCTGTCGACGTTATGTCAACAGAACTCAGCGGTAGTGTAGACGCAGGTTTAGTTTTGTCAACAAAAGTCCACTTTTGTCGACAAAACCCTGTAGTCTAGACACACCCGAAGAGTGCTCAGAGACCGATCCCCTCTGGTGGTGACTTGGGCCATCCTTTTAGACGTCTGCTGAGAACTCTCCATCTCCCAGCTCTCAGAATGTCAGTGCTGATTGGCCGGCCAGGTGGCTATTGCCTGAGAAGACTCAAGTTTTTTTGTTCTCTTTAAGCCCAAACAAATAAGCCACAAGCAAGCCTGTTTGATGGATTGCGCTGCTTCTCTGCAATCATCTCGGTGCAGTTCCTGATTCACTCTAATGTGCCAGTTCTTCTTCAATACTTGCTGAATAATGATTATGAACAATTGTTGATCTATAGCGCGTTTGAGAGCACTTCATCGGGTATAAAAGGCAAGGGAAGGCATTGCCTTCTCAAAACAGCAGCCTGGCCCACCCATTCTCCGCCCCCAGAATGCCTACTGTACGCATATTGGGGGGGGAGTGTAGCTGCCCCCGAGTGCCTGCACTCCCTGTGTTCCCGGGGAGGCTGAGGCTGTGCACCCTCCTCCCTTGCCATGCTGCTGGGAGGGGCGGCTTTGCTGTTTTGGGGCAGGGCCTGGACAGAAGAGAGGGGCCTGGGGTCGGGGCTAGGGACTTGCTTCCCCCAGTCCTACTTTCACCCACCATCCATGCACTTTATACTGATCAGTCAATGAATCACTAGGGGTTGGAGCAGAGGAGTGGGTGTGTCAGTGACATCACAAAGGCCTGTTGCAGGACCTCAGCCTATTGGGGGACAGCGGTGGGGAGGTGGTGACCTCACAGAGAGACTCTGACATCAGCCAGGCAGGACAGAGGTGGAAGGCGGGGCGACTTCAGAGACACCCCCCCTTAAGGCTTGGTGAGGGGCCGCCCCAAAGGGGTGGGGCTGGAACTGCTCTGAGACCCTTTTCCTGTGGTGGTGACCTGGGCCATCTTTTGGGATGCCTGCTGAGACCCCTCAGTCTCCCACCTCCAGCAGAGGGACCTGGGGAGAGACTCCGGACCCGGGGGAGATTGGGAGCTGACGGTAAAATGCTGAGGGAGCCCCCCCTTACCTTCCATTAGAGCTCAGCACAGTTCCCCAAACTACAGAGCTCAGTGGCTTCACTGCGACTGTCCATCAGTGACCCAGCCATGGACACTGGCTGGCAGGGAGGGGATCTACCGGCTCTACAAACAGCTGCTCTGCCAGAGGTAAGGAAACCCCCTGGGACATGGGCCCCAGTAGAAAAGTGACTCTGACAGAAGCCGGCAATGGGACCCCAGAAGAAACGATCCACCTGCCCTGTGAGACTGTCCCCCACCCCCCGGGTAATTGAAACTCACCATATTCTCTGACATTGGCCCCAGCTGGAGGATGAGTCTGTCTCTCTCCTTCTCCCCCTGCTCCATTTAGGATCAACCCCCCTCCCCAGGCACCAAGGACACTCCACCCACCCTAGGGAGCCCTGCTACTCTGTGGGGCCAGGGATGCACCACAATGGGAGTGGAAGAACACGGCCACCAACACCGGACCGAGCAATTGGACACCGAGAAGCTGGTAAGGAACAGGTGTCAGAAAGAGACTAAGGGAATGGAGGCAGGGGCTCCTCCTACAGTGAGGTGGGGGGAGGGGGGGAGTCTGGCACTGGAGGTCACTAGAGAGGAAGACGAATCCATCCCAGGGTGCCAGTTGCCTTTAATCCTCCTTGGTTCCTGGAGGCAGCCAAGTCTCTGACCCCCCCTTGTTCTCGTGAGACAGGAGGACGTCAGGGCCCCAGTGATGCGCCAGCTCCGCTCCATCTGACCCTGACATAAGGTGCCCAAGGCTCTGCAGGGGCTGCCCCTTTTCGGGTGCCTCTGGTGGGCTATAGAGCCCCGCACTGAGCCAGGAAGGGTTAGGAAGCAGGCCTGCACCACTGGGAACCTGCCCCGCTGCCCCTACAGAACCTGCTCCAGCTCCTCATGGCTCCCTTGGCTGCAAGGGACGAAACGGAGCCAAAGGGAGCGAGGCTCCGTGCATAAATAAACCGGGGCAGCCAGTTAAAGTGTTTCTGAGAGTGTTTCCCTGGTACACTGTCAGGAACATTGACCTAGATGGTGCTTGGTCCTGCCATGAGGGCAGGAGACTGGACTCGATGACCTCTCGAGGTCCCTTCCAGTTCTAGTGTTCTATGAGTCTATGTGTCTTTGCTTTCTGAGCCTAGAGGACTCACTCGAGTTGTGTTTTCAGCCTTTTCTCTGCAAACCTGACGACTTGAAACACTTTTTACATGAAAGCTGCAGGTGCCTCTCCACTCCAGAGCCTACGCTGACATACCTGTACTAGCAGAGCGCTAGCTTAGATGCAGCCAACGTCCACAGGAGGAGTTTTCTGTTGGTATAACAACAGCACTTCCCAAACAAAGTCCTCTTAGACTCATAGCTTGAGCAGTCATGTCTAGCCGTCAAAGCAGAAGCCAGCAGAGACATGGGTCAGAGCTGGGGGCAGGAGTCCAAGAGCAAGCCAAAAGGCAGGTCTCATTGAGTCAGACTTTAAGGCTATGTCTATACTTCCCCCGTTTTGTGCAAGAAATATGCAAATGAGCCGAAGCGTGGAATATCGCCACGCCTCATTTGCATGATGAATGAGGCTCCATTTTTGCGCAAGAGGCTTTTGCGCGACAAAACCCTCTTGTGCAAGAGCCGTTCTTCCTGAAAAAAAATGCGGAGCCTCATTCATTATGCAAATGATATTCCACGCATTGCCTCATTTGCATACTTCTTGCGCAAAACGGGCAGTGTAGACATAGCCTAAGGGCAGAAGGGACCATCATGATCATCTGGTCTGACTTCCTGCATGCCGCAGGCCACAGCACCTCATCCATCCACCTCATCCAGCCTCTCCTGTAAGACCCACAGTCTCTGAGTTACTGACACCCTCAAATGATGATTGAAAGATGCCGAGTTATGGGGATTCCACCAGTCGCGCTAGTTGGAACCAGCAAGTGACCCTAGCCCCATGCTGCAGAGGAAGGCAGCCTTGCCCACCCCACCTGCCAGGCCTCTGCAAATCTGCAAATTCCTTCCCAGCCCCAAACATGGGGTCAGTCAGACCATAGATATTTTGGCAACAAAACACCTGGGAAAGAATTGACTGTAGTAACTCGGGGTATGTCTAGAGTTGACTACATGCCTCTGTCGCCTGATGCACGTAAATTAGACATACCGACATAGTCATCCAAATTAGCATCCAGGTGACGGAGCCGCTGTTAGAAAGAACCGTGGCCTTGCTGGAGTCGTTCCATTTATCTTTAAGGTTCGCATGGGGAGAGGTGACACCCCCAGCCCCAGACACCTCTCTCCCCCGGGAATGGGGGTGACCGACCGACCTGACCCAGCCTTCCCTGCCCGGTGCTCTCTGCCCTCTGGGCCTGGCTGGGAATAGACGGACTCACCTCTCCTGGTACCTGATGCTGTGACTTCTGAAGGCAACACGTGGGGAGCAGGCAGGGTCACGGCTCCTCTCCCCGCCCCGATTTCTGCCAGGTTTCACACCAGAGCGGGACCAGCAGCAACCTGTCAGCACTGTGCGGGAGGGAAGGGATGAGAGCTGCTTCTGGCCACAAGGAGGTGGGGGTCGGAGGTAGGGGTGAGGTAGAGGTAGCCTCTTCCTTCCCACCCCACTACCCTTCCCCCTACTCCCCTGTGGCTGGCAGCAGCTTGCCCCTTCCTGGTCGCAGAGAGTCGAAAGGCAGCTACCACCTCCAAGCTGCTGCTGGCCACCGACATAACCCAGCCGCCTCCTGTCCCCTGGCTACAGTGCAGGCAGGAAGGGGTTAAGCCCTAAGGGTGCCTTGAGCACCAGGGCCCAGCGAACCTGACTTCAGGGGCTTCAGCCAACCCAGCCAGAGAGGGGGGCTCAGCCAGGGTGGGGGCCTAGGGCCCACAGCATCCCCCCACGCCCTGGGGCAGGACCTAGGGCAGATGTGACGAGGATGCTAAGCGCCTCTGTCGGGGGACCTGCAGGGTCGGGGCACAAACAGGCTGGAAGCAGTTTCCTCCCCCCACTGCAGAGCCCCGCTGAGGGGAGAAGTTTCCCCGGGCCAGCGCTGGGTGGGGCCATGGCACATGCAGGGCTGGGCTCCTCCTGGCCAGCGTCCCGGGCCACAGGGCTTGAGCGTTGCCTGGAGCCAGCCTGGCCATCAGCAGCAGGGGAAGGAAGGAGCTGGCCAGCCAGGCTGTGGGTGAGCGGAATGATCCGACCAGGGGCTGGTTCTCTGCACATTGCCCAGCCGGGGGGTGGAAGGATATGGAAGAGCAGCCGGGCTGGAGGGTGAAGGGGCACAGCAAGGAGAGGACAGTGAGAGGAGAAGCAGGGACGGCTGATGGGGGCAGCAGAGATGACACGAAGCCAGCCAGCGGCCTCCCACAGTCATCAACCCCGCAGCAAGGAGCCATGGCCGGCTGGAAACGGGACGGGGGTGAAAGGGGCCTGCTGGCCAAGAGGAAGCTCACAGGCTGCCAGCAGGAGGGAGTGCCTGGCCCTGCATGCTGCAGCTGTGCTCAACCACCAGCCTTGCTCATGCACCCCCCTCGTCAGCCAGTGGACCCCCCCACTCACTACTGGTGGTTGGGCAGCTGGCGAGCAAGGATCCAGCCAGGATCAGGACCCACCAGTACAGATGGGAGGGGAGTGACAGAGAATATGGGACAATCGGCCCATTTTTAAAGAAAAGTAGGGACACCAGCGGGAGGGCTTAAATACAAGACTGTCCCTTTAAAAACAGGACAGCGGGTCATCGTAAACTAAGGGGTACGTCTAGACCACAGGGTTTTTTTCGGAAAAACAACTGTTTTTCTGAATACACTTCATTTACGTCCACACTGCTCTTGTGTTCTTCCGAAAGAAAATCGAAAGAACAGAGGGGTTTTTCAGACATTGGTAAACCTCATTCTATGCAGAAGAACGCCTTTTCGGAAAGAGCTCTGTCAGAAAACGGCGAGTGTGGTCGGGGAAGAGGGAGTTCTTTCGGAAGAAGAGGGAAGAGGAAAAAGCACAGGTGCCCTGGTGGCCACTCCGTCCATAGCAATCACAGCTGACGTGAGAGAGCGTCCAATGAGTGTGGACGCTCTCGTTCGAAAAAGCAGATCGCTTTTCCAATGCACTTTTGCAGTGTAGACGCCCCCTTTTGGAAGAAGCTTTTTTGGAAGATCTCTTCCGAAAAAGCTTCTATTGGAAGAAGCCTGCAGTCTAGACGTACCCTAAGCGGGCTGCTCTGTAGTGCCTGCAAGGATTCCTGTAGATGGGTTCTCGCTGCGCATCTCTTTATGTGCAATTGACCGGTGCATTTAGTACTGAGGCTCAGGTAATTGCTGACGCTCCTGAGCAGTGCGGAAAAACAGCCATTGCCGTATATTATCAGGCTGCGTCTCATTTCAGCGCCGGTCGCTGCTTTCCATTCTCTTGGGCTGCCTCTTGTCCGAAGCTGTTGCCGAGACGGAACTTGGGTTGGCGTCATTTTTCACTGTGCTTGCTCTCCATTCGTTTACTTTGTGTCTCTTTTAATTTCCTTGCGGTTCCTGGAGAGGTAGCGTTTCTAGAACAAAAGGTGAATAACGAGCTGGCTGCGTGTTGCAGGGAGGCTGTGACGCGAACGGCACCAAAGAGAGAATGATTGCTCTGCACCCAGCCAAGAAAACACGCTATTAATATCAGTGCATCATTTCCTCCCATTGCCTGCATGAGTCACGGCAGCGGCAGGGGGCAGG